ACTCGCCTATGCCGACGACATCGACAAATAATTGAGAAAGAGTCTACCAAAGTGGGTAAACAAAACTAATAACATCAGCTTTGTAATCCGGAGGAGAATAGTGTTGGCCAACAGATGCAACTATGGGGTGAGTAAGCAACTCAAAAACAAGGCCAGATCAAACTCACACTCTACAAGACGCTGATATTAACCGTCCTGTTGTATGCATTTGAAGCATGGGTACTTGCGCAAGCAAGGCAGTTCTCGAAGTGTTTGAGAGAAAAAATTTCCGACCCGAAAGATCTAAGGCCGAACTGGGTCGACGGTGAATATCGTCAACGAATAAACCATGAGTTGTACCACCCAGTCTCGACCTGAAGAGAATATGTTTGGCAGGATGTAGTGAGAATGGATGAAGGTGCCCCAGATCATAAGCCATACGCAAGTCAAATGACATAAAACATGACGTAAGCGGCTTAAAACAGTTACGGTCGATTTGAAGCTCCTGCGCGATGTTGCGACGGCTAACACGCCGGGCAACTTCGATCATTTTTCCCAATTTAACGACATTTTCGACGACCAGCCTACATGCGTCTTAAACATCAAAAATTCCTGAACGAAATATACCATAATTGCACATAATTGGATGTTACAGTATCAGCCGCTTGGCTTGAATTTTCGCCGCTGTCAAAGAAAAACTGTAAAATGAAGTGAATTTTATCTTTGTTCACTTCCATTTTAACACCATGTAACTCGCAACTGAACGAACCAAACAAAAAACAGCAAAATATTTTTTTTGCTGCGAAAGGTCACCCTTCCAACGAGCATAAATCTGAAATTGTTTAAACGATACTTTACGAGGAATCTATCAGTACAGCCATCTGCCGAAAAATTATGAATTTGTTTTTCCCCAATCTAGTATCTTTTTCTTTTCAACACACAATTTATGAGTTTAAAAATTAGTCTGGAGTTAAGTATTCCATAATGCATTATTCCCATATCTAATTAAAATGCATATTTACAGTAAGATCAAAAAAAATATTTTATTTTATAAAATTCTTTTGAAATCAAATTTAATTTCGTTTGCTTTATATTCCCTTATAAACATTAAATTATAAGATAATGGAATTTTTGTAGGCTTTTGTGTTTATCGTATTTATACATATTTCGGCTACAGAAGACCACATTCTCTACCTAAACTCTAAAAATATGTTGGTCATTATAAGAATATGTTGATGACTTTCTCAAATAATGGTAGAAATTTATATACGTACGTATGTGTGTGTTTACATATGCATAAATGCAAAATGTGGTTGAGTATGCAGCAACATATAAATACCCACAAAGATGACTTTGTACGATGTGTTTGTTATCCTTGGCAGGGGATATTTGTTGGAATGTTCTGAGGTTATGTTCACAGGGTATTATTTTTAATGGCCGTAATGAATTGCCTTTCCATTAGCATTATAAGAAAAATAGCAGCCTTTTTTAAAATAAAAACTCAAAACACAAGATGTTGGGTGACTAAAGTAAAAACAAAAAAAAATTGGGGTAGGGTATAATCATTATATAGCTATCATAATGGGACTAACATGTTAAAAAAATAAAGGAGGAGAATATGTAGAAATATTATAAAAAAATATTTCAAAAGTAATTATGCAAAATGAAAATAAAAACTAAGTGACAGGAGAAATAATAAAAGTAAATCAACGGATATCCATTAAATTGAATTATATTTTTTCTCTTCACCCAACTATATAGTCTTTGTTTATTGTTCATTATTTCACAAATCATTAAAAATGTGAAACTAACAAATTTTAGACGTCAAATTAGCTTCCCCCTTCAAAGTAAAGTAAATCCTATTTTTACTGGTCATTCACTTCATAGTGGCGACGTCACTACTGCACAAATTATTAGTGACGGATAATAAAAAAATCTTAACTGAAAATATGAATGAATCAAGACAAGAAAAAGCCAATTAATGTCAACGGCAGGATGATACAAAAGTTTATTGACTTTAAGAAGTTAATGTGTCCAAAAGATGCAGGTACTGTTCAAAAAAAGAGTATCTTAATAAAATTACAAAAAAACACAATGATCAGCTATATAGAGAAACTACGTGGGTTTTTTTCTTTCAAGCAGAAAGTAATGAATTATTTATTTAGACAAGCAAAAAATTGTATTTATATGCATTGTGGTATTTTTATTATTACTTATAAATATTTTCTTTTTATTAAGGGCAAATTATATTTCAAGTAAAAAATTGTTTACCACAAATCATGCTCTTCAGTTTCCCCCTCATTTGAGGTTTCAGTTCAATATTAAAGTCATATATTCTTTGAAAATGTGCTTCATAAAAATGATTTATGCCAAAAAAAAAAATGTGTCTTATCATTATCATTCACATTAATTTCTTTTTGGCTGTTAACAGATTGGCATAACCTTTTAAATGATGTTCCCTTAAAGCTAATTGTGTGGGTGACTAATGACAAAAAGTTAATGGATTGTGAATATGAAAAAACATATCTCAAAATAAATTATCATTATCATAAATTTTCACTGTGGCGTATAAGTTATGGTTCATATCACATACGCTACGTGGTTCAATGGAGAATATTGTACAGTGTACAGACAAAACAATAAGAAAATCGAATTTTTAATCTCCGGTTTAAAAATTGACACAAAAGACTTACAAAAATTAACACGTTAAAGTGAAGTTTAAGAGCACAACACATTTCTAAATTTGTGTGTTAATTTAATTTAGCTCCGAGAGATCAATGTATTTTTTAAATTTTGTGCCACGTCTTGTAACATCCCTTAATTTAGTTACAAGTTTTTGCTCAGAGAAGACTTTCAATTTATATGCCTAAATGTTTACTACTCCTAGGATTTTTGGTATTGAAAATAGATTTTTAATTAAATATAGGTCCACTCTTTTGTGTAGACCCCACATATTTTCAATATTTTGGATATTTTTGCTGCATTTTCCGAGAGAAGTAACGTATATACCCTAGACAACTATGTTGTCAGGGTATTATAGCTAGGCCAAAGAGGACCACAATTGCCTTTGGTAATTATCGGTTAATATGAATGGATGGAATGGACCAAAAACTTTATTTTTGTATGTTTTTCCCGTCGCTCTAAAGACTACAAATATGGCCCGGACATCACGAAATTTTGAAAAGAGAAAGGGGTCTGACCATAAAATAAGCATGAAGATCGTTTTTGATGAAGATTGGTCAATATTTAGCGAGTCAAAATAACACAGACATGTGTGTGAAAATTAACAACATTTTTATTCTATGGTATGTAGGAAGGGCATAGACCCCACTGCACTAGAGGAAGGAAATATCGCGCTAAAGGCTGGAAAATTTTGTATGAAGTTCGGTTTTGGTCAATGACGACGCTCATAATTCTGGTTAAGATTTAGGGAATGAAATGGACTTAAAACTTTTGTGTCTGTTTTTCTGGTCGTTATAGAGGCTACAATTATAACCTGAACACCACGAAATTTTACACTAGGAAGGGAATTTGGCCAGAAAATAAGCATGACTTTTTTCTTGAAGATCAATATAATTTAGCGGGCCAAATGAACCCTGAATTTTGTGTGAAAAATGACAAAAGGGTGTCGGGAAAAGGTGTCTGGCCAACTAATAAGAAGGACTAAGAAGGACTATACTGTTCCGCTTAACGTTTTTTTTACTTTAAATATCATGTTCACACAATATTTTCAGTATTGGTCCATTCCGATTTCAGGTATTTTGGTGATCCAAGGCACAATTTCCAACCTATAGTCATCTATGTGTTTGTAATTTCGGGCTCTTAGTGGATAAACAACATCTTCAAAGATTATATCCATCAATTTTTAGACATAGGCTTCGTTGCAGATCCGCATAATTTTCGGTATTTTGAACATTTTCTATTCGAAATGGTTCATATTTTGCATTCCTATTTTTTTTTTTTTTTTTTTTTGAGGGTTTGAACAATATTTGGCTAATGAGGGTATATCCGGCACAAATGTGCCTCATCGAACTTTGTTTTTAGAACCGAGTCGATTTACGCATGTCCGTCCGTCTATCTCTCTGGCCGGGTTGTGCCTACGATAACTCTCGAAGGGAATGATTGAATTCATCCAAATTTAGCATATCGTAATATTTCAACCAAACTTAGTTCAAGTTCGAAGATGAGGAATATCGGTCCACTCCTTCTGGTACCTCCCACATTTTCAACATATAAATCCAAAATATGGCGAAATAAATGTCAGATTTGAACTCAACTTTGCATAAGCTATTTACTTTACGATGTCTATATCAAGTCCGAAGGTGGTACCCTTTGGTACTCTTTTCTATCTGGTACCTCCCCAAAAAGGGTTAATATTCTATTATTATTTAAATTTAATTAAAAGCGAATGGAACAACCTTAACATTATATCCGAAACCTCTTCGATTAAACATATACCTTATATAAAGAGAATAATAATACATAGGCATTAGAAGAACTCTAGATCTTCTAGCTGTACTGCATATATTTCGAGCTTATTTAAAAAATTCCCAGCTAACATTTAGTATTGATATTAAAATTTAAATATTTCTTTTCTTCTTTTCAGAACAAAAATCACATATACAACTTTTACAAAGGACAATGAAAGGCAATTGAAACACAGCCTTTAAGGCTATACAACTCCGTGTGTTTTTAAACGAATAAAACCACTCCTCCCCAAATACAATTTCTTCCACTTAAAAAAGTACAAACCATAAACAAGCAGCAAATGTGGTGACCACCAACAAATTGGCGCAATATTCTCTGCTCTGTTCAATTTCCAACGAAACATGGAAATGCTACTGTCGAACAATGATGTCAATCAAAGTTATTCCATTTTATATGCCAACGATGAACTACAAAATATGGCTGCCGCATCATCATCTGCATCCACCGTCCAGCTCTACACCAATCCGCTATCCGCCTCAACCTCATTCAGTTCATCGTTAAGTTACCTACCAACAGCTGCAGCAGCTGCTGCTGGCGATGCATCATCGCCGATTCATTGGCAATGGGATGCAATGCCATCGCCCAAAGCACTGTTGCTAAACAGTGAATGGCTACAACAGAATATGAGTCAAATGTTAAATATATCGGCAGATAATTTGACAAATCTAATAACGGCCATACAACGAGAGCACATTGTTCCCGAACGGGCACCGTTGCCATTGCTGACCGTATTGACGGTGTTCTATTCGTTGATATTCGTGGCCGGTGTCCTTGGCAATTTGATAACCTGCATTGTGATATCACGCAATAAAATTATGCATACAGCAACGAATTTTTATCTCTTCAATTTGGCTGTGTCGGATTTGATATTACTATTATCGGGTAAGTTTGGATTCACAATTAGGAACAATAAATCGTGTATTATAAAAGAATAAATAAATATATACTGCTGAGAATATTAAATAATATATTATCTTATTTATTGTGACTATATCATGGTTTCAAAAAAAAAAGATGTAAATAACAAATTACCTCCATTTCCATCACAATTTGTATCAATTATAGTTCCATTAACCAACCAACCAGTTAACTAACCATTCCTTTCCCGTATCCATTATCTTCCTTTAATTACCCACGCCGAACGCTTTCCCAACTGATAGCATTCATTCGTATCTGACAACATCAAATTACGCTAGAAAAAACACACAACACTAATATTCCGCCGAATCGTAAGCAATTTATCATGACCCCCCAAAATTTTGTTGGTTTCATTTCGTGTGACCCAAAAGCGTTGCTCGTTTCTCTTTTACATTTAATTATCTAATGGTTGCGTGTTTCCAAATTTTTTCTCGGAAAACCAAAAAACGGGTAAATGTTACCTGTTGAATAACAAGTTTTAATTCGTCGTCATGTCACATAGATTCAACATGTTGTCGTTGTTAAGGAAAATGGGACATGTGTTACGCAGGATAATGAGTCATTGATATAAAACTGTATTCCATGGACAGACTTTTTTTGAAAATTGATGTATCTTCTGCTTTGGGGGAAATTCGTGATAGGACTTAAAGTTTAATTGATGTTTTGGGGTCATGTTTGGAAATGCTTGCCTAATTATCGAATTATCATTCATGTATAGGTAGATCTGGCTTTATATGATGTGTGTATGTAACGTTTGCATTTGGTTCTTTTGCCAGAGGGGCAAAATCGAATAATAATACCTTTGGAATACAACATTCAGTTTCGTTGATAGGAGCTGTTAATATTGTCGATAAATTGCACGTTTTGTTAAAACTTTACTAGAAAATCATGTAAAAATGATTACAAATATTTGTCAGGTGTGATTTTTGTGAACCGAGAACTCGCAATGCCAAATTTTAACAAATACGTCTAAAACTTTCAAAAATCGAAATTTTTCGGCAAATACTTTTTTATTTGTATTGGAATACCAAATTATAGCGGCTTTGATTGGAAAATGCTGTAAAATTATTTTAACCAGCACAGTACAACGGGCCCTATCATATGATACCTTACACAACTACCACTAAGTTCTAAGTTTATGCGGATCTATATTCTGAGACTGGGTAATATTAGATTGGGAATGTCCGGAATGCACCGTTTTGTGGTATGATTTGTTGCCATTTAAAGGTATTGTATCGCGGATGGCTAAGAAATTTTGAATGAAGTTCCGATTATGGGCAAGGACGACGCCTTTAATTTTCGTTTCGTTTATGTTTGTCTAATTTTCTAGTCACTTTAGACACCGAACATCACAAATTTTCTTGGGACTGCTAAGGAATCGAACGGGCACGAACGAATATATTTACGATGATATATATTTATACCATACACAACTGGTCGCTCTCTAGTCCGCAATTATAGCCCAAACATCCCGAATTTGTACATGAAGAAGAGGATCGAGCCAAAGAATAAGCATGTCTGTTTTGATAAAGATCGGTCAATATTTAACGGGTCATATGGACCCTGAGTTTTGTATGAAAAATGACAAAATTTTTAGTCAATGGCGTATTTATTTACTCCTGAAGGACATAGGCGCGAGAAGTTGACATTATATCCAAGAGGAGTGGTTGACCTTTAAATTGATACCAATTACATTGTCGTACGTACTCGGATGTGGGAGTTACACTTAAATATTTATTCAGATATTATTTAGTAACCCATTACCACACTAGAGGGCGGAAATATAACACTGTTCGCTTTGAAATTTTCCATGCGGTTCTAGTTATGGTCAAGAACAACGCCTATAATTTTTGTTGATGGTCAAATAACATTTTTGGGATGTAGTAGACTGAAAACTTAATTGTTTTGTGTTTTTTCGAGTCAATCTATAGACCACAATTATAAGTCGAACATCACAACACAACTCACGGAGAAGGAAATCTGGACAAGTAATTATGAGGGCTGTAGTGAATATTAGTAATATTCGGAAAATATATCAGTGTAAGGAAGATGTGCTGTTGAACTCTTATCGACAAGAGGTTACAACTATCACGAAATATTGCCCAGGCTCGGAATAAATATCCGCAGAAAGATAGAATTCCGTGGTAGTTGTGTAGGGTATCGTATGGTCGGCCCCGTCCGACTATACTGCTCCGCTCACTCGTTTTTATTATAAAGTTTGAACGTTGACATTATGTGTGAAAGTCTACATCATTTCAATGTCCTCCTTGCGAACTTTCGGTCATTTTGGACACATATTTGGCAGTATCTTAACCATAACTTCACGAATGATGGTGTCCAAGTACTCATGAGTTGAAGGTTTATCTGCATAACAAGGTCTTTAACATAGCCCCACAAAAAGTCTAATGGTGTCAAATTGATGATCGTAGTGGCCAGTTTGTATAGACACGACAAGAAAGTACGCTCCAAATTAACGTTTAAATTCGTTCCACAGTCATTGTCAAGTAAGTAAGGTACAATCACACCTTCGCACAAAAGAGGGAACCAAAAAGTGATATATATTTTTTTTAAATGACCTCTCTTCAATTGCTTGCGGATTCTCAGAACCCCAAATACGAAATTTTGTAAACCATAATCTTCTCTTAAAGCACGATATGTGACTGTGACGAAATCTCCATTTTTGTAGTGGGTTTTTTTTCTAGTCCCTCTAACTCTTTATGATAGTTGTATTTGACGACATAATATAAGAAATCAGAAAAATCGAACATAGACAATTCACGAAATTTGTTGTTTTTTCTGAACATTACTTTATAAACGATTTTGTAATAAATCGAAATTAACTTGATTCTCTTTCATAATACGCAATTCATATTGACTTATAACATTTTCCTCGCAAACAATTTCCAATTCCCCATTTCACCTAATTTGAATTGCATTTCTTCAGTTGAGTTGAGTTACGATAACGTCGAGTCATCATCATCATTTTATTACTCTTTCTTTCATTTGCAGGTATGCCACAGGATTTATATAATCTTTGGTATCCATACTCGTATCCGTTCGATGATGTGCTGTGTGTCATGGAAGGTGTTCTATCGGAGACAGCTGCCAATGCAACTGTCTTGACCATAACGGCATTTACAGTGGAACGTTATATAGCTATTTGCCATCCATTTCGGTAAGTGGAAAATGTCATTAAAGTAGATATATACGAATGAATGAATATATTTTGGCAAAAAGAAAGTGCGGATAGGCAAATGAAGACAGTTTTTTGGGAAATGTTATTTTAGGAAATCTTATTTGATGATTGATGGGAATGAATATTACATATTTTGAAGAATTGGAAAAATGTAGAAAGATGTTATACATATATAAAAGTTATAGTATGTAATGTAAATCGATACAAATAACTTCTAATAATGTAGAGTAATTCAAATTAACTTGTATATCATCCTCATTTTTATGTGTCGTAAATGCACAAAATCAAACTGAATTTATACTGAATTAAACAATTCCAATATGGCAATTCTGTAGAAAATAAATTATTTGTCGTCAAATTTGTTTACGTTTATGAAAAAATGTTAGAAATAAAGGCAAAAATATTGGAAACAATTGTGAAAATTTTCATCCTGCACACAGACAAACAATAGTTTTGAAACAAAAAACTGGTTCATAAATGCAGAAACTCTCGATTATCAGGGATAAATTTTAATTCAAATTAAGAACTTTTTAATGCAAATTAATGCTGTCGTCTGTCTATGGTATAAGAAAACCAAATTTTTAATTCAATTTCTTTTTTCCAATAATATTTTTATTTTTAATACTTAAAAAAAATTGAATTTTCCTCTTACAACTGTTTGTTTTTAATCAGATTAAAATTTGCGATTGACTCAAACTCCAATATCAATCGATCTGTCTTTCAACACCTCCCTGAACCATGCTCTGCATTAAATCAAAGTCCTTTATATGGATTTCCATTTAACACGCATTTCACAGACCAAGTGGCTTCCTTTTTGTTACTCAGTTTTTTTTTTCAAATTTTGCATACAAATGGCAAACAGAAAATTGTAAAGCTTCTGCATCAGTGCGGAAAACATAAGACCAAAGTAGAAAAAAGGCTGAAAATTGCCAATAAATTCCATTGATGGTCAAATAATGCAAATACTTTTTTACGCCCAACAACAGAAATTTCCCAACACTCTTAGTGCGCCATTGTAACATCTATCAATATTTCATTGAAGAGTGCTCAAAAAAAAAAACGAAATTTTGCAACATCCCACATCGTGCACTTCACATCAATCCAGGGGAGGTATAGAAACCATGCCAACCCATATTCCATCAATGGCAGCAAAATTACTTTGCCTACAACATGGACACCAACAGCAAAAAATTGGGCGTATACCAAATTTGTTTACCATTGACGTATATTCATCTGCTTGGTGTGAGTGAGTTCTTGTTGTGGTCTGATTGCCGCCATATACTCCATGGTCAAGTATTAGTAATATTTACTGGCCATAATGAACATTCAACATACGCTCCGATGGACCTATTAAGGGATTAACTTTACAAGCCTGCACGAAACAGAAAGAAACATGAAGCAACAACAAAAACTTCAAAGAACTTTCCATTCCAATCGGTCCCCACAACATTTCATTAAACTTCACATAAAAACTATAATAAACTTCAATTTATGAAAGCGAACAAACTTTTGCTAACAAGCCTCCATAGACAATAACTAATGAGGCTATGTTGGCCATTTGCTGGAAGGCTTAAGAATATGAAAGGAAAAAAAACATATTATGACATAATAAAGTCTTAACTTTTGGATTTCTTTCTGCCGTTCTTTTTAAAGAAGATGGAAGAATTTAAAATGTAGAAAACAGTTGAAAAGTTGGGCATTGTGGGTATTTCAAATTGTAGAAAATTGAAATGGAAAATTAAAAATTAATTAGGGTTGAGAAGAAAAAATTGTTGCGTTAATTTTTTTCGTTTATAATTCATCGAAATAATCCCACCCAACCCTATAAAATACATATTTTTGATCAGCGTAAAATTCTATGACGATTTAAGCATGTTGTCTAGCCTCTAACGACAACATAGAGTTGTCTTTGGTCTGCAGGCAGGTCAAGTTCGAAAAAAAGCGTAAAATTCTATGACGATTTGAGCATGTTGTCTAGCCTCTAAACGATAACATAGAGTTGTCTTTTGTCTGCAGGCAGGTCAAGTTCGTAGATGACCTATATCGGCCTACGCATAGGCATAAAGGGTACCCCAAAATTTTGGGTTCTTAAATTTCGCTACAATATTGTACAATGGGTTTTTATTGGGTATCAAAGGGGGTTCTTGAGCGTGTTTTTCTACCGAATTCGGTGAATTTTGGTACAATGGATTCTTATTTGGTATGCCAATGTACATGTAATTAGGACAGATTTAGATTCGTTTGGAAAATTATGTAAACCGATTTAAATCAAACTATTCATGATGCTACAAGATATAATTTCCAGTTCATCCACAATCATCAGTTCATTATTTAGTGCACCCTTTAATTCTTTGGTGCACAATTTGCTAAAATCGGACGAACTTATATACATAAATATGAACCGATTTCAATAAAACTTAGAACAATTTAGGCTATCATAACTTCAGTACGTTGTGCAAAAAATCGAACGAAAATATATATGGGAGCTATATCTAATTTCGAACCGATTTAAAAAAAAAAAAAATTTGGCACACGTTAGGCTACACCAAATTTTGTGCCAATCGGACTAAATTTGACTCTGATGCACCATTTGCTAAAAATCGGACAAAAATATATATGGAAGCTATATCTAAATCTGAACCCGTTCAGGACTTTTACTGTTATAACCATATAAAAACGAATATATTGCTTTCGTTGCTTCCGTTCAGGAATTTTTGATGTCGTGGAAAATGTCGATAAAATCGGAGAGCAGTCGTAACATCGCCCAGGAGCTAAAAATCGGCCATAAACCTGTTTTAACCCATTTACAATTGACAAGAAACATCTGCAGTGGCTCGCCAGAAACTTCGGGAGCTTCGTTGGGATGTTTTAATGCCACCGCCATACGGTCTGGACTTGGCACCAAGCGGTTATCTTCTTTTTCTTGCATTGCAAAATTTATTTAATGATAAAAAATTTGGAGGATTGTGAAAATCGACTACAAGAGTTTTTTGTAAATAGAGAGCAGGACTTCTATGAGAGAGCTATTACCTTTAAAATGGCAACAAATCATACATAAAATTATGCATATTTGGCCCAAATCGGACATTCCGAAGCATTTTAAATAAAGTCCTATAGTTCATATAAAATAATGGATTTCATTTGCCAAATCACGTTTAGGTAGTTATAAATGTGTTTCTATATAGGTTCGTGTATTAACATTACCCCGTTCCCATTTTAGGAATTTTTTAAGTTTTAACTGCATTTTCCAAAAGAAATGGGTTTTGGGTGGATGAAGAACATTTTTGCAAAAAGTATTCAATATAGGTATAGAAACTTTTTGAACTTGTTATCAGGGTTCTAGAAGGAATATTTACAGCTCATTCTGTATAAAATCTCCTGCCTCTTCTTTGTATTTTAGGATATTAGCCCCATTTTCTCACCGATCCAGGTTCCTAGGTGGTAAATTAAATCTATCAGAAATGTTTGCTTATACATAGCCTCCATATAAATGTTGTGCCTCAATTTATGACATTTTGAAGATTCTGGCTTCATGGAAGGTGAGTGAAATTTGCACAGAAAACATTAGACATATCCAACTATCCTTGTTGGATATTTTAAAGGTTTTCGGCAGTAGCTTCTTCCCTGAAAATTTTCATTATAAGTCCATGTTTCTAAGTAGTCCCTATACCAAGGGACAAGTTTCTAGTATCGTTATCCTCTCAAATTGGAAAGCTGGGTTATATTAATTTAGGTGTTGGTATTAATTTTCTCGAGGCATTACAATAGCATGGTCTCCATATAAAGTTATCTACCGATTTATGAAATTTTGAATGTCTATCATAGGTGGACTTAACCACCAAACTTTACTTATTAAGGATGATTTTATAGAAGACATTTAATCCAGCAGCTTGCGCAATATACCTATAACCGTCTCATCTATCTTCCTATATATATATATGTGATCCTACTGCCTATAAAACCTGCAATTTCTGTAGATTACTTATCGATATATTCTGTACATAATATATGACCGCTACTTCTTCAGTGAATCAGACTCTATCCGTTCACAACCAATATCAGATTCCAGCCTTATCGGTTCACCAAATCCAAATTAAGTACCATTTAGAACACACTTCCTTCGATTTTCCTAAACTTTCTACATATCCAAATCCTACGGCCCAACAGCGATCCGAACTTCAAATTTCAGGATTCCTTCCAAATTCAGTATTATTTTGAACACATAGGTACGAATTTCTTTAACTATCTAAACACCTCAATTATATAGTACAGAAATAAGATTACTATTATTTCCAAATATTACTATTATTTTCAATTTGTACTCCAAATAATACCATTAGGTAATTTACGTACACAAAGGTAAACATTTTCATTCATATCCCAATCTTACACTCCGACTGTAATGTTCATTGAAACTTTCACAACTCCAGCTTTATCCGTCCCTCAAAATTCAAATTGTACCATTTTAGTACGGTTTAGTACTTTTAGCATACTTTAGAAAATATCTCTATCCATTCACATGCTACGAAATTGTACCAAATTTAGTACATTTTAACATTTTTGAAATACTTTGAAATATTACGAATTTCCCATTAATAGACAATATTACAAGTTCTTATTATGTGATCGACAGAGCTTGAAGGCCTAGAAATACTCTATCGTGTACGAAAACTAACGCATAATAAAATCCTATTCTGTTTCCTATAAAAATCCTCGAGGCGTTCGGAACGATCATTTTAAGTTTATTTAGTGTTGCCTTTTTTATACTAGTCCACTGATTATATGTAGATGTTAGCTCGAAAAATGAGGATTTTAGAATTGATATTTTGGGATGTAAGAGTATTGAGAGCTTCCCTACGTAGATCGACGATTTTGTGTGGGAAAAGTTTACGTAATTTTTTATTAATTCGTTTTTCATATTCGTTTTTTCACTCCTATTAATGACCTATTTTTAAAATAGTTTTATTTTTTCCTTCTCGTACCTTGTTTCGATATGTTCCCTGTTCAAAAATTCAGCTATTCAACTTGTACATGCCGTAATTAGTATTTCATTACTAATTAAATATTGTTGTAACACATGAATAATTATTTTATATAAATAACTATAGCCGACATTTTATTACCCGAAAATTAAATAAACCAAAAACAATTAAAAAGTTACAAGCTCTTGTTTTTCTAAGCCAACTTTTCGAAATTGATTGAATGCAAATTAAATTAGCCCAAAATAAATGGCGATAAACTATTACTCCACCTACAACAACAAAGTCGGTTGTATAAATTGTTTTAATTGCATTTGCCATGAATTTAATATTTATTTAAAATCTGTTGTGTTTTGGTTTTCTCTATGTTTTTCCCTTTCTTTTTTTCTAGGCAGCACACCATGTCGAAATTATCACGGGCTGTTAAATTTATATTTGCCATCTGGCTGACCGCGTTTGTATTGGCCATGCCACAAGCAATGCAATTTTCCGTTGTGGCATCGTACGGTGGCACCGAGTGTACGGTAAGTAAACGTGTTTAGCTAGCAAACATTGGAAAATTAGACACAACAATAGCAATGCATATGTATGTGTGTGAGAGTGTGTGTGTTAAGATAAATAAAACACAGATGATATACATTAGGGTGGAGGAGAAAATATTAAAAAATATTAATACCAAAATTATCATTTTTAGTTGTTGATATCTTGGCAGATCTGTTCTGGTCAACATAATAGTTAACAAATTTTAAAATCAGATTATTAACTAATTGCGTTACCACAATTAACCCATTGTGGTGTAGAATTTATTTGGGCCCTCTTTTAATACTGTAAAATAATTTAAGGATATGTATCGAAAAATTATGTTAATTTTTATTAATTACTTATTATAGTTATTATTTAATTTATAATATTTGAAAATAATATTTTTTAATTTCCATACTAACCCTAATGTATATATTTACACATGTTGTCCGTTGAACATACTTGCCATTGTGTGTACAATTTTATTAAAACGAAATTTTCCAAACCCAAAACTAAGCAGTGTTCCTCCCACACCGTCTCTTTCTTTCTCTCTCTCTCCATCTGCTCTTCTCTTTTACAGATAAATAATGACTTTTTTGCCCATGTATTTGCCGTGTCGGGTTTTATATTTTTCGGCGGACCCATGACCGCCATCTGCGTTTTGTACGTTTTGATCGGGGTGAAATTGAAACGTAGCCGTTTATTGCAGACAGCTCCCCAGCGATACTATGTTGTGAATCGTGGCATCAGTGCTCAAACGCGAGTAATAAGAATGTTAAGTAAGTACCAGGAAAAATAATTCAAATAAAATAAGAAGCAAAGAGAGGAATAAAAAAAATGTTTAATGCATTTTATGTGTTTGAAGAAGTATGGCAGCATATGGAGGAAGAGTGAACAAAAAAATAAAGAAAACCAACTAACGAACGAATGAATGAATGAACTATGAGTAAATCAAAGTGTACTGTCACCGATTTACATCCAACACGTGTGACCCCTAAGAGCCACTTGTGTATGTTTGTGTGTGTGTGAACGTTTGCCAGCAAGTAGTGCTTTTAAGGAACTCCTCTTTTTTATGTTCACTTTTTTATGTGACTTGGTGACACTCTGAACATTTTATGTGCTTCCTTCATGGTCTATGGTTGTTTGTGATTCTCTTTCTTTTCATATTATAATGGAAAATAGTGGCAATAAGCAATTTATTTTCGCATATAAGGACAGACATGAATATATATTATTAAGGAAATATAGTCTGAAGTACATTTTGCATATAAGATGCTATTTTTTATAATCGTCACTTAGTAGCAGGTGCTTTATAGACAGGAGTAGAAGACTATGTAACATATCACCTTATTTATGGTGTTTGACTGTCTTTTAATAGAGAATATACAACAAAAAATTAAGTACCGCGTTTAACGTTAAAAAAGAGAAAATTACAAATGCAAAAAATTGTATAACAGTTCCACTTTGAAAACACCAAAATTCGTTACAAGAATGACTGGTCTGACCCAGATAACACCAGAGATTTTTTGTTAAAATGTTAAACTTAATTTTAAAACTTAAATATTTTATTAATAAATAACTATTTATACTAATCTATACTAATAGAAGAGAAAAGTGACTGACATAACGATTATCAACGCCCAGACGAAGCGGCTGAAGCTAGAATCTTGAAATTTGGGGTGCGGGTCATTCTTGGTCCCTGATATTTGTATTTGGCGAACCGGTAGAGCTAGAACTGTTGAATTTGAATTGAGGGTCACTGATGGAGTGTCAAATAGATGTAGCAAGGGATATTTTTGGAAATTCGAACTACATGTATCCAAAAAGTACTAATTTGTACTAAATTTTCTACAATTTCGTACCATGTGAATGGATAGATCTAAAAACTTGAAATTTGGAATGCGAATTAAGGTTTAGAAGTAGTAGTAGGAGGTGGTTTTGAAAGCGTACAGTACTAAATTTGATAACTTTGTGAATTCGTACTTATGTGTACTAAATGTTAGAAAATTTGGTACAATTTAATTTTTGGCGAAACGGATGGAGTTGAAATCCTCAAATTTGAAATTAGCATTACCGTTGGAGTGTAGGATTGGGATATGTAGGTAGTTTTTGATATTTGTTCTCATGAGTACGAAAAGTACTAAATAGTGCTGTATTTGGTACAATTGGGATTTGGGTGAACCCATAGAGGTGAAACGTTGCTAGGAGATTTTAATGCAAAAATTGGAAGGGAACATATTTTTGGCCCCACAGTCGGAAAATTCAGTCTCCATGAAGAAACATCAGATAACGACATGAAGTTGATTGACTTCGCGGCAGCAAAAAACATGGTACTTAGCAACACCAGATTCAAGGATTTCCATAAGTTCACCCTATCAAGCAAGGAGCAAATCGAGATGCAGGAGTCAGAACAAAGTCCGGAAACTTTACCAGCGAGTAAAACACCGAACCGAAAGTTTTTACGGCACTTCGTCCTGTAGAAATGAAGAAGTAAATCTGGTGACACGTACAGACAGCGTGTTGAGGATCTGAAAGAAACATTTTGCAAAACTTCTGGTAATAACGAATAAGATATCCCATAACCAATAATACTGGTGGTCAGGAGCATGCACCAGCTAATTAGTACAAGTTGGCTAGAGGAATGCATGCCCAATGATTGGAACCTCAGCATTCTGTGTAACGTGCACAAAAAAGGAACCAATATTGCCAACTATATTGCACCATGCCAATGCGGCTTCAGACCAGGCAAATCCACCATTGACCAGATATTCACTCTGCGCCAAATCCTGGAAAAGATTAACCAAAAACACACCGACACATTCCACCTATTCGTGGAGTATAAAGCCGCATACGACATCTGTTTTGAAATTCGGAGAAGAATGTTGGCTTGCAGATGCTGCTATGATCTAAGTAAGCAGTTTAGAACGCCAGACCAAACTCACATTCTACAAGACGCTGATACTACCCGTGCTGGTGTATGGATCAGAAGCATGGGAACTTGTGAAAGCAGGCATTTCTTAAAGTGTTTGAGAGAAATATTCGCCAAAAGATGTATGGGCCGATCTGCGTAACGGTAAATATCGCAGTCGAATGAACCACGAGTTGTACCATCTATTCTCGGACATCGGCATTGTCAGACGTATGATAATGAACGGTATTCGCTAACGAAGTAGCGGGCATGTGCTAGTATTTTAAAATATATTATTATGTTTTCATTTTTATATCCTCGTTTCAAAGGAACTTTCTGCTAACAAGTCATGCAATCCATGTGTGTTTACTTAAGGAACTGCAATGACTGTTTGTAGACTTCCATAGCCTTCTATAGCCTTTTAGTAAGAATAATAAGTGAACGAAAATATGAATAAAAACCATATGATATACAAATCCATTAAAATTTCCTCCAATGCTTCTATTCGTATGAACGGCATTACAACAGCTACGAATGCAATAACAAACAAAAATTATAGACAAAATACTTAATTACTTAGCTGGCTTGTTACAGAACGGTTTTCCATAAGCCGACAAGACAAAATAACCTTCCAATACTAACAGATTGTGAGTGCAGTAGGATGTTAAAGAGGCAAATGGAAACAACGTTCATATTTAATATATAAAATACATATTGCCAATAAAATTAGTGGAAGTAGTTTTCTCAAAATTTCATATTTTTTAACCAACTCCCACATTAAAACTTTGTCCTTAATAATTTGTGTTCTTATGTATGCTGTTGGATGATCCAGCAATTATCCCACATTACACTACAGGTTTGTTGTACGTTTCACTAAAATTTATTTTCTCAAACGAATTTTAAATGGGCCGAAAAGTTTTCATTGTCATGGCAGGCAAGAATAACCTAACCCACCCACAAACAGTTTAGGAGGAGAATTATTACAACAAAGAAAAACTTCAAACAAAAACATACGTATATTGTGTTTTATCGGCCAAAAAAAGTTTGTAAAAAATGTCTTTGTAGATTATAGCCATGGTGACAAATCGTAAAATAACCAAAGCGAAACTTCCTCACATTCTGGTCATCCATTCAGTTTTTTTTAGAGAAAATATTCTCAGAAAAATATAAAAACTTTGAACGAAAACTACTTTAAGTTTTAGGCATGCGAGATTGGATTGTCAACAGTGTTTTGTATAGTTTTACTTAAAAAAAAGTGAAATGAAACTTTCAAGTAGTTGGATAGAAATCGTGCTTTTTATCGGCCGTTGAAAATGTTTAATCGAACATGCAACAGAGAATAATATGGATTTATGTAAACATTTTAATTTGTAGCAGAATTAAATGACCAAAACGAAATTTTCTTAGCAAATAAAAAAGTAATGATAAAGCCCTCAAGAATTAAAATTTCTACAAGTTGTATCATCGTATATTTGCCTAAATAAAATTTTATCAATATAACAGCAAATATTATTTAATTTGTGTAATCTTTGAAACGTTTTATGACTTTAAACCATACTTTCCAATCATGTTTTGTTCTATTTCATACCAATATGACTAATATATGAAACCAAACATGACAAAAAAAACAAATCCCAATCCACAAAGGTATTACATATATACCTCCTCTCAATTTAATTTTTTATATTCATTGCCATGACAATTATCCCTCAAATATTTATCTTCATCGTGATTATATATATATATATATATATATATATTTGTTTTGAAAATTGAGGTTCTGCTTAATGTCAGCCCACTGAATACCTTTTTAAAGATTATGTGGTTTTTAATGCTCTTATTCAGGTGTAGATACATATAATACACGTATGCCAAAGATTGGCATGACAATATAATGTAGGAAATTCTGAGAATGAATAAAAATATAGATTAAATTTTAAATGATGAAACAATATTATTATGTGATTCTTAAAAATAACAAAGAAAAGGTTTTTATTTAGGAAATGGCATTTCGCTGTAAATGTCAGCAATAATTTACTTTAGTTTTTCAAATACTCTTAACTAATTCTGCGAATAGAAGCTTGTGTTCTAAACTACCATCTGTTGTGCGAATTTGATTTTCATAATAATTCTTCTGAGAAATTATTTGAGGAATAAAATAAGTCAATTTTAGAAGAACAAGTAAAAAATGTGTTGTGATATGCTAGGTATACTAACGGTTACGTGTAATGAAAGTCCCGACACAACGTGGAACTATACTACAGCGAATGAGATTGGGAAAAGTGACTAAAATTTACGAAAAGCAAGGCTATTACAATTAAGTAGAACAATGTTTTTGAATAATATATTGGAAACTACTGGCGACCAGAAATACTAAATTTCAGTCACTTTTGATGGTAAAGTTTCCTAAAATTTCCAACATAGGGTATTGATATTTATTTGCAATGCAGTTTCCCTCCTTATGAATGTTCTTAACCAAAATGCACGCGAAATTCAAATTTCAGTATGTTTTAACGGAAATTTTCTCTCAAAACCTGGACCGATATTGATAAAGTATGTTAGGGTGGAACATGTAAAATCCTTAAATTAAAAAATCCTTAAAGTACTGCAGTTTAGAGGGAATGTTATATAAGACTATAACTTAAAGGGGACCAATATTTATCACTTTGTTATTTTTACCTACCGAAAATCGGGATGTATCATTTATGGGGGTTGATGTCTGAATTTGTATCGAACATGTCCCCAAAAGGGGATACCGATATTTGGGGGGAAATTTGATCAAAATAGATCATTTTCTGTGGGACGATTGGGTACCCAATAAGGGTTCAACATACCAAATGATAGCCACAAGGTACCGATACCGATCTTAAAACGGCACCCCCAAATGTGCACTGGTCATTTTAGCACAGAGATTTCTTACCAATTGAGAATGCAAAAATTACAATAATTGCGGTTTGAAAAGTGTTTTCCTACTACTTCTACTCCCAAATTAAATTTACAAGTTTTTTAAAACATGGGGGATTTTCCAGAAGTAGAGGGCCTACGGGTTTTATTTTCGGATATGATGCGAGCTTGGTAAAGTTTGGTTCACATCAGACATTCCATTCGCCAGATCTTGGATTTATAAGCATTGCACATTTTGACCATTCTTCGGACTTTATCTAGGCTTCGTAAATATACTAGGTTGTACAAAGTTTGTTTCAAATCGCATATTCTATTCGGCTAATATTGGATTTATAAATATAGAAAATTTCGACTGTTCTTGGGTGGCATTTTTGGTCTTGATCTAGGCTAAGTAGAGGTAATAGCCTGTAAAAAGTTTGGTTCAAATCGGATAGTCCGTTCGTAACATCGTCCAGGAGTTAAAAATCGACTATAAAACTTTTTTAAACCATTTACACAATGCTGGATTCAAACAATGTTTGGGTGCCACACCAATTAACCAAAAAATAGGATGGACGGACTTGGCACCAAGCGATTATGATTTTTCTTTCATTGCAAAATGTGAAAATCGACTACTAGAATTTTCTTGCTAATAGAAAGCAGTTCTTCTATGAGAGAGGAATTATGAAGTTACCTTTAAAATGGCAACAAATCATACAACAAAAATGTGCATATTTGACCCAAATCGGATATTCCGAAGCATTTAATACTTCATAGCATTTAATACCTCATAGAGAATTCGAAAAAAATGCATTTTGATCAAAAATTTGTACAGAGTAATAGTTCTACCAACTGTACATTAAATCGGAAATTATGAACACTGGTAAATATCATATAAAGCATTTGGGGTATCCGAAATGATCCAAACTTTGCAGATCGACCGAGAATGGAGTCTATCCAGTCCACTAGTCCGTTCGACCTATTTTATATTATTTTCTTTTGTATAATTTTACAGAACATACAATTTAACAATTTCATATCTATCATATCTATTTAACTGTGATACAAAATCGAGGTCAATTCCTTATGGAGATGAAAGCGAGTTTACAAAAAAACCGAAGGACAAATTCGCCACAAGTCAAGTTTTTGAGTTACTGCGCTCATGTAGAACAAGCTTTATATCATTGTTTGGGGCTATTGACATGACATGTCGTCAGTCAAATCGAATGAAGAATATTTTTGTAAAACATACCCTCCTTCTATCTGGATTCCTTGTGGGTCTTTCTCTTCCTCATTTAATTAACCCGTAATCTAAATACCAAAGATCAAATTTTTGGACCTCCCAATATTTTACAAAAATGTCATTAATAAGATTTTACATAGCGTAAAATTTTACATACAATTAATAACCATTTCTATGTTTTCATTGTCTATTTCCAATTTTACCCTATCACGTCATAACTCAAAAACTTGACTAATGGCGAATTTGTCCTTGGGCTTCTTAAAATACTCGCCGATGGCTTTAATTCCTATAAAGAATTTTGCACCCCTAAGATTTTGTTGCTCAGTGTTATTTATGCAAACTACTGTCTCCCACAAATTTAAATATTCCCTACACCATTTAATCACATTTCCCTTTTATGTTCTTCCAAACAGACGTTGTTTTTTAATCTTCCTCGAGGTGAAAAAATCTTAAACATCATAATTATCTTATATTAATTCTACATCCTTTTACCTTCATTATGCAAATAATCCACTTAAGACTGATATCCTACTGAAACTTTATCAGTAATACTTATAATCTTACTTCTTCGCCTTCTTTTCTTCTACTCTTACAGTTGCTGTTGCAGTGGCCTTTTTCTTGTGTTGGGCGCCATTTCATGCTCAACGTTTAATGGCTGTGTACGGGTCAACATCTGGCATACAGTCGGAACTTTTCAACAATATCTTTCACATTTTGGATTATACGTCAGGAGTGCTGTACTTTTTGTCCACCTGCATCAATCCGCTGCTCTACAATATAATGAGTCATAAATTCCGTGAAGCATTCAAGGTACAACAAACGGCACATAATATACACCACATACACCATGACACTAACAACAACAAAATTCTCTTCTTGTTTTCTTTCTTCATTCTCGTCTTTCTTTTTTTGAACGAACAACTTTTGGCTTGAACTGTGCACCTTCTATCAATTGGATTACCAACACTACCAACCACCAACAACTACAACAATGTTAACAAAATTCTAAATTGTTTATGATCCATTTTGTTTAACTTTACAAAAATACTTTTTTCATATATCCGTTAACATCACCAACTTTAACTAAACTTTGCCTTTTTCCCTCTCGCTCTCGCACTCACACTCTCATCACTGCTCTGGGCAATTTATAATTCACTTCAAATGGCTATGTATGGGTGTGTGTTTTTTATATGCTTCTTTTATGCTACACCTTGTTTTATTCTTTGTGTTGTTTTGTTTTTTGTTGTCGTTTTTCGTTTCCGTTTTCCTTATGTCACTTACAGGTCACACTGGCTCGTCAATTCTTCTCGGGCAGCAAAAATCAGACACAAAATCACAATTACAGTGCACTGCTAAGGCACGGCAATGGCTCACTACGTCTACATCATACCACGGTGAATAATAATGCCCTTGAGCACTATAGCTCTTATCGTGTAGTCCAATTGCAATATCGTGACCCAAGCCATCATCTTTCTCTACAGGATAGCATAAGGACCACAACAACAACGACGACCATTAACAGCGGCAGCGGCGGAGGTGGGGGTGCAGTAGGCAGTGCCGGTAACTCGATGCTGAACGGTTCGAGGGGCACAGGAACGGACAGTGCCACATCCACGCTGAAGGGAACACATCATTGCAGTACCGCCCGGAATTCCCAGTATCGAGGACGTTGCATGTCTATGGGTTCCCAGTCAACATTGGCCGCCAATACTCCCGGCCCAGGTCATCGTATGCTGCAGACCCAAATATCTCAGCTATCTTCGGTGGGTGATGCCAACTCCCTTATGGAATGTGATATTGGTACCGGTTCCGGTGGTGGTGGTGGCGGCAATTGTCGCCTTAAAGGTATGCGCCGCCAGAGATCACGGGGTGCCGACGAATGCATCTCCATCGATTCCACGTCACAAGCCAATGTCCAGCTGTGGCGTGACGATAAAAAACGTAACTCCAACATGCATGAAACAGAGTTATACTCCAAACCCATGGGTCCCCACATAATGGCTGCCACAATGGTGGCCACCCAACCCATACAGCCCATGAATTCCATTGCAGAATTGAGTATAGAACGACCTAGTCGTTCTCGGCTCAAGCTATCACGCATCATTACACGGCGTCACGATGACGCCTTCGTTGTACAATCCATGCCTCGCGTAGAACTCATGAAACCATCAACCCCTCATCACTATCACAAAGATCGTTCGTCGTCCAAGACCCTCAACTCTCTGGCGGAGAAATTCAAGTGGCGAACGAAGCGAAAACCGGCCAACAAACATCACATTTCCTACTGTAGCAACAGCAACAACACCAAAGGCTCTTACGATACAATCGAAGCTCTAGATGAGGCCAATAAACCTGCCACAGCTCTAATGAAGGTGGTATACAGCGCAGCACCACCTCAGCATCAAGTTCTGGAATCGGAACTTGCCCTAAATCATCATTCGGAATCATCGTTGGGCTATCGTTCGCCGCATGCCTTATGATGACCGATTATGCACGATTTCTCGACATCCCTGCGGATGTCCTCTCAGTGCCACAGAGCTTCGGCAGCTGCAGCCGCCACCACTAGTATGGATGTGATAATGGCCGGTTTTCATAGGGGCATCGAAGTGCAAAGAAGAAGAAATGACAATGACGACGATGATGCTGGTGCTGGTGATGATGAACCGGTTGTTCACCACACAATAGACAAAGATGACGACCTGGAAATGAATCAATTTAGATAAGACTGCAAAGAAGAAACAAAAACACAACTACAAAAAAAAAACAAAAACTGAAAGAAACATAAAATGAAAAATGTTAAAGTAAACAGAAAAATAACAAAAGAAAACTATTTTCAAAATAACAGGGTGATTAATGAGATGTTACAGCCAAGTCATAAACATTAATATTTTGAAAATTTCAAGGGGTCTAAATTATCATGTGGAAATAATCAACATAGAACAACAATCATCAAATCGTATGCGTGGTTTGGTTTAACATATAGAGAAATAGATTTGCACAAAATTATAATATTAACTTAACCCTTCAAACTTTTAGGTAGGATGATGTCATTCAAAGTGAGATTAAACTACGCGACAATATGTCTAAGACCCTCAAAATACCTAATAATGAGATTGTGGTTATATGAGGGCTACGTGGACCGATATTGATTTGTGAGATTTGCTACCTAAGAACCCAAAAAACGTATCCAAACACCCCAAAAAAGACATTTAAGAGATGAAAGGGTCTAAATATTTTTTTTTTTATTATTTTTTACTTCCGGGAAGACAAGATTCCGAAAAGTTATTTGTATATGGAAGAGGGATAGTTGACCATTCATCTGATATCAAATCTATTTTTGTAAGTCGATGAATATGAGATATACTAACATTAGTCTAAATATGTTAATATGATTTAATAGTAATAGTACCAGTCCGATTTTACGTAAATGATGCACTGAACTCCCGTCCGATTTAGACGAAATTTGGAATAACGTGCCGCATTTCGTCTAGAATTGGTTCAAATTTAGATATACCAACTATATGCGTATATTCGTCCGATTGTTTTCTTAAATGGTGCCCTATATTTGAAATTTGGAATAACGTGCCGCATTTCGTCTAGAATTGGTTCAAATTTAGATATACCACCTATATGGTACCCTATTGAAATTAGAGGAAATCGGTTCAGATTTAGATATAGCTATCAATTTATTTCCGTCCGATTTTTAGTAAATGGTGCACCAAAGTCCCTGAAAAACATTCGATTTCCACAAATTTTGGCATAGCGTACTGACTTAAGTCTAGAATGACGTTTCATGAAAATCGGTTCAGATTTAGATATAGCTCACATATATAGTTTCGTCCCTGCAAATCGCTTGATTTGAACGAATTTTGGCATAGCATACTGAATTAAATCTAGAATAATTTGTACAAAGTTTCGTTAAAATCGGTTCAGATTTACATACACCTCCTATATATATTCGTCCGATTTTATGTAAATAGTGCACCAAAGTCCAAATATATCTTTCGATTTTGGTATAACGTACTGAATTAAGTCTTGAATGATTTGTTCAAAGTTTCGTGAAAATCGGTTCTAATTTATATATATGTCATAACTTCTATACATAATTTAGAAATATTTATGTTAATTATACACAAACTAATTAAAGCTTGTCTGATGGAGATTAATTTTTAAACAGTGCAGCATACTGAATAGCGTATATCGAGTTTGCATTAAATCGATTTACAAAATTTAGCATAGGCCCGGTCCGACTTTACTACATTCCTTATTAGTTTTGTAATAGGTGCAGATTGAGATATAACCGAATTCATATTAATAAACAACATATGAGCGTACATTGTAATCAATTAAATATCGTCCAAGGGGACCCCCCATTCTCGATTTTATATCCAACTAGTTTCAAACGGCTGGCAAATGAGCATACATTACGTTAAATACTTGTAACTTCGTATACATGTATTTGAAGACGTAAAGAAGAAAATTAATTGACAAAATGTTGTTGCTGTTGTCATTTTTTTAATTGAAGAAAATTCCTTCTTCTCGACGGCGGGCTGATTGCTGATCATAGTTTGGATTTATCATAGTTCATGCGATTGCTACCTCGATTCAGACTAACGTGTTAAAATTTGGAACCGATTGGAATAATAATATTTGAGTTATGCGCCCGTCAATGGTAACAACAGTGTTTGAAAAACACTCTTGCCGTCGCTTGGTGTTGTCACTATAAATCGGCTATATCTTCTAGAGTTATTAAGATTTTTTCACTTGAAATTTTAATGAGGCATTCTTGAGAATGTATAGGTCCACATTAAATAAAAATAAAACCAGTGAGCGGAGCAATATAGTTGGACGGGGCCGACCATATGATACCCTACACAACTTCCTAGAAAATCTCACTTTGTGTGGTTCTATATTCTGGCCAATATGTCGCGATATTTGTACCCTCTTGACTAACTAGAGGTCAACAAATATTACTAATATTCTAATTACATGTCCAGATTCCCTTCACCGTGGCTTGTGTTGTGATGTTCGACTTTCAATTATGGCCTATAGATCGACTCGAAAAAAAACACACACACAAATTAAGTTTTCGGTCCACTTTATCCCAAAAGTTTTTATCTGATCATCACCGAAAATTATAGGCATGTCCTTGACCCTAACGGGAACCTCAGGGAACATTTCAAAGCGATCAGCGGTATATTTCGCCCTCTAGTGTGGTAATGGGTTACTAAATAATATCTGAGTACGTAAGCACCTGAAAATATTTAAGTGCAACTCCCACATCCGAGTACACACGACAATAAAATTGATATCAATTTAAAGGTCAACCACTCCTCTTGGGTATACTATCAACTTCTCGGGTCTATGCCCTTTAGGGGCATACGCTATAGGATACAAATTTTGTAATTTTTCACACAAAAGTCAGGGTCCATTTGACCCGCTGAATATTGACCGATCTTTATCAAAACAGGCATGCTTATTCTTTGGTCCGATCCCCTTCTCCAGGCAAAAATCCGCGGAGTTTGGGCCATAATTGCGGCCTCTGGAGCGACCAGAAAAACCGACAAAAATAAAGCTTTTGGTTCATTTCATACCCTAAATATTAACCGATCTTTTCCAAAAAACAATACGGACTCTGGAGCGACCAGAAAAACCGACAAAAAGTTTTTGGTTCATTTCATCCCTTAAATATTAACCGATATTTTCCAAAAACAATAAATGTCTTCATTGGCAAGAACCCATCCTACATTCAAAATTTCATGAAGAGTGATCCATAACTGTGACCTGTATCGTGTTTACAAATTATAATGGACGGACGGACACACATGTCTAGATCGACTAAGCTAATCGAGATATGACGATCGGTATACTTAAAGTTGGGTCTAGGACCAATATTTCGCGGCGTAACACACTTTTGGGGCTGCACAAAGCTGTAATACCCTGCCAACATAGTTGTGTAGGGTATAAAAGTCTCAATTTTATATATGGATTTTTTTACTTTTAGCGTACGAAAGTGAGTATAGAATAAAGTGTGCTACTTATTCAAATTTAGATATTGCACCAATAAACAGTTTCTTCAACTATAGGCAAACATCAATAACTTCAACAAATGAATTGAAGTTAAATACAGCATACATTTCTCCAAGTATTCCGTCGATGGTTAATTGGAATAAATTTTCTACTTATTTGTTATACCATGTCCATTTAAAAATAAACATTAAGTCGATTGCTCAGTATAATATTATTTGTTGTTTTTTAGAAGGTTTTCACCAATGTAACCACTGTGCCATTACAATGTGCAATGTTTGGCAATCAATGAACAGTATCAACAATGACCGATAAAACAAATTGACATACCCTTCCAAATACATACATACATATGGTTGTAAGTATCATTAGTATCTCCGTATCATCAGTTTTTATACCCTTCACCACACTGTGGTACAGGGTATTATGTCTTTGTGCATATGTTTGTAACAGGCAAAAATAATCGAGATAGACCCATGGTTCCTTTTGAGAATATACATAGAATCACTTTCTAAGTCGATTTATGCATGTCCGTCCGTCTGTCCGTCTGTCCGTCTGTCTGTCCATGTTAAATTGTAAACAAAGTACAGGTCGCATTTATGATCCGAATTGGATGAAATTTGGCATAGGTCACTTATTCGGCCCAAGGACGAACCCTATTGAAATTGGGAAAAATCGGTTCAGATTTAGATATAGCTCCCATATATATATTTAACCGATTTAATGTAAACGGTCCCTATATATCTTTCGATTTGCACGAAATTTGGTGCAGCCTAATCATTTAAGTCTAGAATGATGTCTGCCAAGTTTCGTGAAAATCGGTCCAGATTTAGATATAGCTCCCATATATAGTTTCGTCCGATTTCATGTAAATGGTGCCCCAAAGTCCCTATATATATTTTGATTTGCACGAAATTTGGCATAGCGTACTGAATTAAGCCTAGAGTGATGTCTGCCAAGTTTCGAGAAAATCGGTCCAGATTTAGATATAGCTCCCATATATAGTTTCGTCCGATTTTATGTAAATGGCGCCTCAAAGTCCCTATATATCTTTCGATTTGCACGAAATTTGGCATAACGTACTGAATTGAGCCTAGAATGATGTCTGCCAAGTTTCGTCAAAATCGGTCCAGATTTAGATATAGCTCCCATATATAGTTTCGTCCGATTTCATGTAAATGGTGCCCCAAAGTCCCTATATATCTTTTGATTTGCACGAAATTTGGCATAACGTACTGAATTAGGTCCAGAATGATGTGTGCCAAGTTTCGAGAAAATCAGTCCAGATTTAGATATAGCTCCCATATATAGTTTCGTCCGATTTCATGTAAATGGTGCCCCAAAGTCCCTATATATCTTTCGATTTGCACGGAATTTGGCATAACGTACTGAATTGAGCCTAGAATGATGTCTGCCAACTTTCGAGAAAATCGGTCCAGATTTAGATATGGCT